TCTTCCGGATTTACTTTTTGGTTCTTGAAGGTTATAATTCTTAGCAGTTCTGGATCAAAAGTTTCTGGGTTCTTTAGTTAATAGTGAACATAGGGTGTATAAAATGCTGGCCTGTCTCTTTACATGCTTCTCAACTGTCAAAATAGTATTTGTTATCAAAATTAGTATAGCCTTACAGCTTTGTTTATAGGAAGTTCCCTTTACCTCCTCTCAAAGCTCAGATCAGGCAATATCTAACATCAGACATAGATATTAAGTAGCACTATTTAACTCAAACTTAAATACATGCTCTTTTTGTTTTAGGAACTAGGAAAATGTAGTCAGGATCTGTTCAATAATTTTACCAGAACACATTCATTTGTCTAAATTTTCTGAATCTCTGAAAGTCAAATAAAACATTACTATTACTAATTAAAGGGTATGTATATATATGGACATAATATGACATGATAACCTGATTATTTTAATTAATGCAGGCTCTGCCAAAGACAATAATCTGGGAAGAACAAGCAAATTATGAAAGAAATAAATGTAGCTCTCAAACGGTTACACCATAACAATTATTTATATTTTTAAACTTAACTCTAGTAGATGACTAATGGAACATTAGTTTCTAATTGAAAAAATGGACCTTAAAAATAGGAGTCATCAGCTATCCCTCGATACAAGGATGATGTCTGCCAGGGGGGATTACTGGTGAGTTTTAAGGTGGTTGAGGAGTCTAATCTGTGCTCTGTAAATTTTTTCCACAAAGATTACAAGTGGTGTCTTGCAGGGGTGGGGGGGCGCGACAGACTGTTGGCTAGGATGTTGCGTGCTTTCCTTCTTCCTCTGCCATTTCTAGGCTTTCTGAGTGAGATGGTTCTCTTTGAAGTAGGCTGTAGCTTGATGTATGGAGCAATGTCATTGAGACCTGTTACCAGCCAGCATTTTCCAACTTGTAGGGTTGATGCCACCCTTCTTAAGGTGTGCTTTCAAGGTGTCCTTGTAACTTTTTCTGCATCCTCCACGAGCATGAATGACGTGCGCTTCCAGAGACTGGAGGGAAACAGCGACTGCCCGCAGCTGGCAGCGCCATGGCAGCGGCGAGTGGTGAGCTGCAGCAGGCCGCCTTGCTGGTGTCAGCAGTAGGCTGAGTGGGGAGCTCCCGCAGACGGCCGTGGTGGTGTTGGCGGTGGGGGAGAGTGACGAGCACCGACTGGCAGTCAGCAACTGCCCACAGACAACCACTGGTGGTGTCGGCAGTGAGGGAGGGGAGGTAGTGAGTGGCAACCACTCGCATGCGCCACCGGCAGTGTTAGCGGCACTTTTCTCTGGGGGTGCACTGCCAATCTCAAGGGGTGCATGTGCACCCACGTGCACCCCTTATGCATTGCCAACATCCACAGGTCCTCTTACCATGATTAAATTGAAAGAAGAGGACTTGCTTCGGGAGATGAGTGTCGGGCATCTGCACACAGTGGCCAGCCTAGCGGAGTTGATGGTCCATGATCTTTGTCTCAGTGCTGGTTACATTAGCTGCAAAGAGGATGCTGGCGTTGGGTGCAGTGGTCTTTCCATCTAATGCGAAGGATCTTCCTGAAGCTGAGGGAACCATGCCAGGTGCTTAAAATGGCTTTGATATGTCGCACCCGCACAAGACGTGGGGAGCAGAGATGAATGAACCACACAATTCATTCCCACTTCAAAGACCTATTAGCCCAATGCCCTTGCTGTTATATGAATCAGTCCCTAAGCACGTGAAAAAATTCAATCAAAAGTATCTATTACTGTCATCATTTCCTATTTCTTTATATATACCCACTGCTACAAACCTGGAGCGTCTTTCAAATGCTTTAACATATTTTGGAGTCTTTCAGAGCACGTTTTTAATGTATTATTATGTTCTAAGAGTAATGACTATTAGGGTTGTGTGAAATGGCACCGTTCTGTTTCACCTTGAGTTCCGAGGTTTTGATGGAACTGTGTTTCGTATTGAATTTCATTTCGATTCGAAACAGCTGTTCCATTTTGCTTTGTCGAAACAGTGAGGCTGTTTTGACGTTTTGCAGGCTGGAGACGGGGAGTCAGCTGACTCCCCATCCCCAGTGCTGGATTGGGCTGGGGCTGGGGAGTCAGCCCAGCTAGACTGACTTCCACCCCTAGTGCTATGGTCGAAACATTTCAATTTCCAAAAGGTTTTGACTAGCCTCGTTTTGTTTTGAGGTTGTTTTGAAGCCCTTTGTTTCGTTTCGATTTTGCTGTTTTGACCTTGAAATGAGTTGAAACAGCGTCAAAACAAAACGGCCGGCAAAATTTCACACAGCTCTAATACATATAGTGTCTTGAGTTGTAATAAAGTAGGGCTTTGCATTCGTAGACTATTTATAGTGGTGCCATCAGCAGTTGTACTTTTAAAAACTTGCCAGCTTGGTATCTCCTGTTGAGGGTTGCCCAGCCCAAAAGCTTGCCAAGAACAATCTTTCAAAGATTTTGTTGGTCCAGTGAAAGATATCCCATCTACCCAAAGAAGCTTGTTATGCAAGGAGGTAAGCCAGCTCACCACTGTGATTCTTCAGGATGCTTTTTGTGGGGCGGAAGCCCCGATGATACGAAAATGGGTTTCTGCCAGACTCAATCTTTTGGGAGCTCCTTTGGGCTAGTCTTAGGGGGGCCGTTTTGGGGATCTGCCTCAGACCGGGCAGGCAGGTGGCCTCCAGAGAGCAGGTGCCGTTGAAGGATGGGGGGCAAACATTACAGGAGGGGAACTGAAAGCGGGCACAAGCCTCGCGGGGGGAGAAGCAGCGCTGAGGAAACCGGTGCGGTGTCCGCCGGGCCCCCATATCCAGCAGCAGGACAGCATGGGCAAAGCCCGGCACCTGATCCGGGGCGCGGCACGGGCGTCTACAGGCGCTGCGAGGCTCTGCCTGGCGCTGT